AGAAAATTGCTAATTACTTTTCACGCTATACAAGCAATATGTACAACGGAGAAAAATCGAATATTTTGTACCACGATTCGCTATCTCACTGAACCCAACTTTCTTCCAGGACCAGAAAGTTGAGTCCAGTGAGCTCTCTAGTTCTTTTTGCGCTCGACTTATTTAAAAAACGATCGAGCGCACTGGGTTTTTCGATAATACTGAAAGAGAAGAAACAGGTTTGTAGGGAATCCCGTTCTGTAGGAAACCATCTTTTGGTCAGTCTATATGCTATTTATGTACTTCATTAAATTCAATATGTTTCGAAACCTCTACACTAGAAATTTGGCTTTATTCGCGCGTGGTATGTTAAAGTTACAGAAGGAACAGAAAAAAGACGGTTACGGGATATTTCTTTGTATTTTCTACCTTTCTCCCTTATAAAGCAATCTTAGTCTTTGCTATTTATATAGAATCATTGTACAAGTAGACAACACTCATGGTAAAAAAAGAAACTTCCTATCAAGCCCGGTTGAGGCGTGCCATAGTAGGTGGTTACGGGACAAATTGTCAGTCAAACCTCACATAACTTCAGTAAAGTGGAAATTACTTGGTAGTGAAAAGTGATAGAAACGACGGATTTTCGCTGTTGTCTATTCTATATTTTTAGTCAACTTCTGGCATGTAAAGAAGGCAAATTGAATAACTTATCAGAGCTATCACAGACCATGTCGTTACGGGACAGAAAAACGACTTTTTTTGGGATCACAAATTCGGAACAAATTTGTGAAAAAACAGAACAATCGGTAACAAAGGTAATGATGTAACTGAGTAGAGCGAAGAAAATACTATAACAAAGAGGAAAAAACAATATTGCTCCGCATAAAATAACAGAGAAAATAACATTTACAAGACCAAACGTATTTGAATCACTAGAAAAACAACATCAGAATAACGGTCAAACATGGATGTTTTGCTTATAATTCGTTCACGGTTAAACATAGAAAAGTCGTACTTGCAGCGATTATAAGCCTAACGTTGATTTATATCTTTATTATGTAAATAATAAGGCCAGCGGCGAACCATTTTAGGCGATGCATAATATAGGCTGCATTAAGTGATAAAGTGTGCCTAACGTTGTAGAATATATGCGAGAAGTCCGAAAGTGATTCATCAAGCCTAAGAAAAGAAACGCTTGGGATCATTTACTTCATTCGAACGGTACTATTTTTATCAGAATCACTCATATATTGCTCGTATTTCGTGAAAAGTAATTAGCGATTTTCTCATTAACTATGCGTCAAACAGAAAAAAGTGCAGGGTGAATTTCGTAGAGCTTGATGAGTTCTACTTGGGTCCATGAAGAAGAAAGTTTGGTCCGTCGATGGGTGAATCTCGATAGAAAATACCGAAAGATTTTGAAAATGAGTGGGTTTTTAGGTTAGAAGTCGGATTATTTGAGTTTTTTGACCGGTTTGCTGTAACGGATTTTAGAGCCCAATGTGTGGAGTTTGTAGAGCTCATCGAACTGTCTACTTCCACAACGTTCAACTTGATCGAAACCTAACCCGTTAACATATGATCGATGGCGTCATTTTGTATTATGTTTCTTAAGGCGAACGTGCACAGGTGAAAGAACTTACTATTACTTGTCACTACCGCTTGTGACGATTCTTTGTCACAACCTCTTCTTCCAGTACGTACATCTGTTGGTAGGACTACTCCCTTTTGTTTCGTTCTCTCCCTTGTCTGTTTTCGTTCTTTCTCAGCTTTCTTTGTTTGCTGTTCTTATCTTTTGTACATGCAGTAGTAAATATATATTAAGTGTTTTTCTTGTGTTAGTTTTTTGTAGTTTGTGATAAAGGGTAGTCGAATAAAAGAGTAATACTACATATCTTAACGCACGCATACAATCAACTCAAGGACTTATAATTAGAGGAAATATAGGTTCCTCACACTTGGCGATCTCGTCTTGCCGCACCTTCCGTTCTCCTGCAAAACTCTTCTTCTTTTTTTTTCTTTCTATCTTTCTTTATATTGTCTAGTAAGTCACATTGGTTTTTATCATGGCTGAATTTCCTAATTTATCCACCTGCGAAAGGTCTATCCAGGACCATCTTCAAACGCTTTATGATAATCATCGTTCTCAGACGGTACTCATGCACGAACTAAATGACAAAATTGACCGTTCACACCAGCATACCGATAATGAAACTGCTCTGCTTCAGCATGCAAACCATGCCTTACAATTGAAGTTAGACGATACTTCCTTGGATATTCACAACCGGTTAGAAACTCTCGCCCGAAATTTCGAGGATTCACTTCTTGACCTGCGACGTCCGATGTCGTCTAATGCGCATCTACGCAATCCTCGTCCAATTCGCGTCGGTTCTCCAAGCGCTATTCTTCTTCCGTCCACAAAACCGGAAAGTCTTTCTGCGCATCCCTCTTCAGCTATACAAATAAATCAGACTGTTTCTTCCGCTGATGTACCCTCCCAGATGCGCCCGGCACCTCAGACTGTTATTATTCCGGCACCTACTACCATTCCTCAATATTCTGGTACACCTTCTGAAAAACCTCTCCAGTTTTTACTTCGTCTTCAGCACTTTGCTTCCAGCATGTACGGCTGGACTGATACTGTATTACTGCAGGGTATTTCTACCTTTTTACAAGATACCGCTTTAGACTGGTACACTCAACTCTCCCTTACTCATGCCCTTCCTACTACTTGGTCGGAGTTTCAACACCTTTTCATCGAACAATTTACTTCCCCTCTTCGTCTTGCCCAAACCGAAGAGCAATGGAATCACTGTGTTCAACGTTCCGATGAGCCTATTAGTCAATTTTTGGTTCGTTTACGGGGGATCTGGTATGAGGCAAAACCGACTGAGACTGAGCATGATTTAATTCAACATCTTTACGCAAAAATGCGTCCGGATCTAGCAACCTTTATGGGTGTACTCGAGCATCCTACACTTAATCAGTTCATGGATAAAGCTCGCTCTGCCGAAAAAATCATTTTTTCCATGCAACAACAACAACGTACGCTGAATCAGAGTGTTGCACCGGCTACCTCTGTGGCTGTGTCCGATCCTTTTCCTGCATCTGTAACTCGACGTACCTCGGATGGGGTATGTTATAACTGTAAAAAACCTGGACATTACTCTTATCACTGCCGTTCTCACCCTCAGTCACCATATCGAAAAAACTGATACGGGGTCCTTCTAGTAAGAGGTGGAATGCCCCCGCATTCTCCATGAATCATAAATCCTCCACTGATGCTTTGCATTCAATTGGCATTGTTCGTACTTCTACTTCCCATAGTCTTCTTCAGATTCTGGGTCAGATTAATGATTATCATTCTACTTTCACCATAGGTACCGGATCTGCCTTAACCCTAATCAGTGATAAGGCCCGGGAACTTCTCGAACCTCATGCACTCGGTCCTCCTCAATGTGTCCGTCCTATCACTGTTCAACTCGCCAACGGGTCTCCTATCTCGTCTAAGGATGCTTATAGGGTTACCCTTAATCTCAATGGCGATACCTATCACCATTCAGTATATGTTATCCCGGGTTTGCAACATTTTTGTGTCTTAGATCTCGACGATTTTCGCAAATATAAAATGGTCATAAACCCATTTCAAAATCAAATACACACCCTTTCGGATACCCCACTTCCATCTCCTACCAAGATTCCAGCTTCTTCCGTCCCACCCTCTACACTATCCACTTCCAACTTGGCCACCTACACACTTTTCGCAGCTCAGTCAGCTCGTATCCCGCCATTTCATACCATGCTCATCGCGGCTAAACCCCATAAATCTTTGTCTACCTTTACTGCGGATGAAACATACTTTATCACCTCTATTCACCTCTCTCCTCGAGAGGCAAACGGCATAATACACCCTTCACGGGATCTCATGGTCAGTGTGGCCAACTTTTCCACTGCTACACTTTCGATCAGTCCCAGCCAGAAGCTAGCCACTATGGAACGTTGTAATCATGCTCAGCTT